CTCCAGTAGCTGGCGTCACAGTCGTGGGCACTGTTGTGTGATAAATGCTTTGTGACTTCAGATAAAGACTGTATCTAAAGTTTAATCTGCACAACTACGAGAGTAGAAAAACTGTTGATGTCAGTATGGGTTTTTATTTCATTTATGTACAACTCACAATTTGTAAACTTTTTTATTGTCACCAATTATTGTACTTATGTGGTCACAGGACAGTTCCAAGCCCTCTCAGTGGCATCTGATGCTATATCGTGTGTGTGTGTGTGTGTATGTGTGTGTGTGTGTGTGTGTTTAATGGAATGCTCCTGTGACTTTATAATGTGACAATATAAATATCTGCATCCATTTCTATCATATTGATCTGTTGTGTAGCTACTTCCAGTCTATGACCTATACTCACTTTACATATTGATTCAACCTGAAGTTTCCTTGAGATCTTTCCCAGCCTGGTTTCTGATGGCTGTGTGTTGAGAGTTCCTCCACCCTCTCTCCTCTCCTCCCCACTGTGGATGCTCTTCTCTTGGACCAGGTAGCCCTCCAGGATGTGGTGTTTTCTTCCTCCCCAGGGCCTGTGCTCTGGCTTGAGTCTCTGATGTCCCTCCCAGGACCTGCAGACAGCCGGGCAGCTGCCTCCTGCTCTCAAAGTTCTGACCCGCATTCCAAGTCGGGTAGCCTGGGTGCACTTTGCTCTTTCCAAACTGATTTTCCTGTGGATCCCACATGTGGACACATAGGCAGATGACCCTGGTATACTCTTGCCTGCTCGGAAATACATACAGGATGTGGCACTTGAACACGCAAGTGAATCTGAATTCACCTTTTTCAGGCTGCACTTGGCCATAAATTCTGAAGAGTTAACTTCTGGTATAATGTTAGGTTGGTAGATACCCTTCCGTTGTGTGTGTGTGTGTGTGTGTGTGTGTGTGTGTGTGTGTGTGTATGGATGAAATGTGAATACGCTAAGTTTTTCACCTGCATTAATAATTCTCATTTTTCTAGACATTAAGTTTCTGATTTTTACATTGAATTTTTAGGGATAAAGTGCGGTCAGGGTTCTATGTTCATTGCGTCACACAGTGTATAAATAGTTCCTGGGATAACTATATCATTCTGAATGTTGATACGCCCACCAGAGAATTTGCTTGTCCCTCTCACACATCTGTTTCACTTTAGGCAAGAGAACGTTCTCATGCCAGAATGGCTTTCCGTGGATCCAGGCAATCTGCTTTATGTTGAGCCTCTGCGATTCACAGATGCAAATGCTTAACGGCAGTAAGGTTAACGTGGTTATTTCTTCATCTGAAACCACCCCAGTTGCTACTTTCCTTCTTCTTCTTCTTCTTCTTCTTCTTCTTCTTCTTTTTTTTTTTTTTAAGAATCTTATTGTGTTTTAAACCCACTGTGTGGAATCCTCATACCTTGTCTCACAAGCCTCCTATCCCAATGGAATTCACTGTTTAGTAGCTTGTGATGAATTTCAGTGTCCTGCTATTTTGTATGGCTAGTTTGATTATGTTCTCTTGATGGAGTTTAGTTTCTTAGGGAGGACATGAAGGGAGCAGTTTCACCACGTGGAATAGAATCCCACTGACCAAAAGAACATCTCTCCAAGAAAGCCCTCGCCTGGCCATCTGTGTCTCAGTTATCTCATCAGCAAGTGTGGCTGAGCCCCACAGTGCCACTTGGACAGGAAGTGGGAGCAAGGCAAGGATAATATGTGAATGGAAAAACTGCCGAATAGTTGGAAAGATGAAACCTGAATTAACAATTGGATGGTAACATGTGAATATGTCAAACTTCTTCTGCCCTGGGCTCTTGCTGTCCCCAAAAGCAAAAAAAACAAGTTCTCAGCTTATCACTGCCACAGCTCTGGGCATTTTTTTTTTCAAATTTAAAAAATTTAACCCAACTCTTTAGGAACTGAATTTTCTATAGGAAACTTTACCTAACTTTTCTTGTCTTGCTAACTTGTTATGTTGAGTAAAACCTTCTATGTAGGAAAAAGCTGAACTATGGTAAGAGCACTCGGTCAAAGATTCAAAGCCTTTGAGAGCTTGGGAGAAATCCAACCACAGTCATTTTCTTATACAACTGAACACAAGACTCTGTGGTTGAAAGTTGCTGAAACTCCCAAAGCATGGGAAGGCTGACTACACGTTCTAGTTAAAGACGTTTAAACATTGTCCCTGATGGTGCTGACTGCAGAAGGAAGGCCTTGTATTTTCTTAAAATGCATTCTAAATAAAAAAAATCAAAAGCCATTCGGTGCTAATTAGAGTTTTGTGGCTGAAGGTGCAGCTTCGTTGGCATCTAGAATTAGTACTGTGTATGTGGTCCCCAGAAAATGAGCTCACACGGCAAAAACAGACAAAATCCACCCCCTGCCAAACTGACTGTCAGCAGAAATCTGGTCTGCTTTCTGAAATGGAATGTAGGTTTCCAAATTCTCTAGACGATCTCTTTCCAAAGCAAATGAGAAACAAATAATTCACAGGCACCACTGAATTTTCCATTCAATGCAGAGAGTTCTCACTGTGCTGTTGCTGCCTGTCCTCCCTAACGCCATTCTCTCAGCAGCACTTGGACCAATGGTCCTAGAAGTTCGTGGGATCAGAAGCTGGAGTTGGATATTCATTTAATGATTCCCACCCTTACTTCCCCTCCTTCCCTGACTCCCCAAACAGCAGGTTCTGTCTGTCTCCCAAAGAAAAACGACTGTCCTTGGGCACCTGAAGAAAAACATATTAACATTCTACCAGGCAGGGAGATCTGGGGATGGGGGACAGTGACGCATGCAGGTGACAGAAGTTTGAGAGGTGAATAGAGGTCAAGAGGACAAAGTGTTCTGAGATGAACTGTGGGGTGGTGCCCTATCTCCTGGGCCAATAGAGCATCATTCTCCACCAGGTCAAGGGTCCATTAGTAGCTCGCCACCCTGAGCCACTAGATGAAGAAGACCAGAGGTGGGTCCTGCGTACACAGTCCATGCCTCCTGCCTCACACTAGCTGCTGCTGAGCTCTCTGTGTGGCCTGAAGTCCCAAGGTCAGCCAGAATCCCAGGGCCAGGCAAGTGGGCATGGAGCTTAAGAAGTGTGTGCACAGGCTAGGGTCCAGGCCAGGCCCGGGGAGACCAAAGCAGGCCCCAGGTGCGCCAGGCAGATGACCTGGACATGTTATCAGAGCAGGAGCCTGGGTGAAGAATGACCGGTGGCAAGTGTGACCAGATGCCTCAAACTAAACAGCTGCAGGGTCACTCCAGCCTAGTGCCAGGCCTGGCCCCGGGCTCTGGCAGACCTTAGCCTGACCATAGGATGGTTGTCCCAGCTCCAGCTGAAGGACCACCAGGCACTGCCAACTGGGAGAGTGGACCCAGAGTTCCTCCCCAAACACACAGCAGAACAGTCGGCCTCCCGTCGTCCCCCACTCCTTCCAATTCTTCTATGGAGAGAGCCACCTCTGGTATGTGATGAGAGGCCTGGCCACACACCCCCATGATGCTGGGCCTGGGCCTGACATCATCTTCATAAGAGAGGCTCTCCCAGAGTCCCTCCATGAGTCTTGAGTGCCGGCTCCAGAACAAGGCTGGGCTCCAGCCCTACTGCACTGCAGATCCCTGCACAGGCTGGGCCCTGCCCAGGGATCCAGTCTCCCTTCTGACCCTGTTTCCCACTGGCTTTCCACTCTGTAGCGCCAGGTCCTCCTGTTCCCCATACACTACCTCCTGCCTCTGTGCTGTCCCTCACGCTGCTGCTCCTGCCTTGACCGCCCTTGCCTGCCTTCTCTGCCTGGTAAAACCTGGCTCGGCCTTGAGGTCCAGCTCAAATGTAACCTTCTTTGTGAGGCCTTCCCAGCCACGACCACCATTTTGCCTGGCAGAATTAAGTACTAATTGCACCTCCCTTAGTATTTTCTGTGTACCTGATGTCCACTGTAACAGGGTTATTCATTCTTGCACCTTGTTCATTAGATTCTGCATCTCTCAAAGATAAGGGCCTGCATATCTGTCCATCTCTCTTGGTATCAGTGCTGGGAAAAGCTGTTTTGCAAATCCCTAATGGATGGAAGCCTTTAGCACTCATTAACATTTTAGCTCTGATTAGTTAAGAAAGTCAAAACAGGGCTCATGGAACAGCTAACATCTATTGATGACTTCCTGAGTGCTGTCCCACCCACCCCACGTCAACAGAGAAGTCAGCCAAGATATCTCTGGACCAAGCTGAGGGGCACAGGGACCAACCTCATTTCCTCCAGCAACACGGCTAACGGCACAGAGGCACCAGCTGAGGCAAGAGCACTGGGCTGTCCTAAAGGCTGGACTGAGATTGGTCCCTTGTGACCTTCAAAAATATTTGGCTTTCTGAAGCGCCTGTGGCTCCGGAAGTCAGGGAAATGCTTTAATGGAGTGTTTCTCTGCGCAGGGAGGTGTAAATGCAACATGAAATGAATCTCACTCCACCCAGAACAGGATGTGCTCTGCCAGCATGCTGAGCCGCCCTGGCCCCCTGCGTGCTCCTGGATCCTCCCACCCACTCAGGAGGTCACAGGCCTCATAGGGAAGTGTTGAAAACCAAGTGGAGTCAGACGTTTGAATACCAACTGGAGATGCGATGCTAATAGGGAATTATCCTTAAGGTTCTAGGAAACACTGCTCACGGAGGCACATGAAATCATCTTTTTTTCATTTATTTTTTTAACTTAATTTTTTTTTAAATTTAATTAGTTCTACATGACAGTAGAATGCATTTTGACCCATCATCCATAAATGGAATATAACTTCTCATTCTTCTGGTTGTACATGAGGGAGAATTACACCAATCGTGTAGTCACATATGCACATAGGGTATTAATATCCAAAATTCATTCTACTATCCTTCATACCCCCATAACCCCTTCACTTCCCTCTGTCTAATCCAAAGTACCTCTATTCTTCCCTGGCTCCCCTCACCCTTATTGTGAATTATCATCTGCATATCAGTGAAAACATTGGGCCTTTGGCTTTTGAGGGGATTGGCTTATTTCACTAAGCCTGATATTCTCCAGCTCCATCCATTTACCAGCAAATACCATAATTCCATTCTTCTTTAAGGCTGAGTAATATTCCACATTAAATCGCTTTTGATGTCATAATTGTATTGTAACTATGTAGTGTTTTTTTAAAAGAATCTTCATCTTTTAGACAGATATACTGCAATATTTACAAATGAAATGATGGCTGAGAGCTGCTTTGAGATAATATGGGAAGGAGGAAGGAGGGAGGGAAGGAAGGGTAAAGATAAAAGAAGACTGGCCACAAGTTGCTGACTGTCGGAGCTGGATGTACTGGTGTTGATTATGCTACTCAGTCAACTTTTGTTTCTGTCTGATATTTTTCATAATAGGGTGTTTTGTGTTTTAGCATGTGGAAAAGAAGGTGGAAAGAATATTATTTTGTTTTTGTTTTGTTCCCTTATTTCTTAGAGGAAACCTTGCACAAGGTCACCTCTGGGGATCTCTACTTAGAGAAGTGGGTCCAAATTATTGGCATGTCCACCCCTTAAGCACCTTCTTAAAAATGCCCTTGCTTAAGTTTCCTCAAAGACTTTGAAATACATTTGATTTCCTTCCTGGGTCGAGACAGGGCTGAGTGTCACATGGAGACCTGGAAACGGGGTCTGTGTGTCCAACCTCAGTTTAGGCTCCTTTTGAGATGAATCACTTGCCCCTCTCCAGGGAGTGGTCACCGCCTCCCCGATGGCTGGTTATAGAAGAGAGATGTGCCCTTTTCACTGTGCCCTTGTCCCAGGGGAGCTGGCTTGGGAACATTTTAAAAGGAAGATGTCTCCTTAGAGCTAAATCCACTTGGAAGCCAAATGACAAAGATGGGTTTTTCTGTCAGAGCCTGGGGACCCCCAGCCCACTGGGGACAGAAAGTGGAGAGCAGGCTCAGCACTGAACCACTCCATCTCTTGACTGTTTCTGTTGTGTCTTCCTCCAGACAGGAGCTCTCAAGGCCGTTAGCTTCACATTTTCCAGAGTGGGTTTTTCACTGGCCTCATTCCCACCACCCTCTTATTTCCTTAACACCCCTCCGTCACCACACCCCAAGGTGGAAGGCTCTGTGCTCGCTCTCTGGTCCTCGCCCATTTCCCCCGTCATGGCCCAGCTTTCTGTGGACTTGGTGGTGAGAGAGCAGAGGAGACCTGCTAATGGGGGGGTGACAGGGAGTGGAAGAGGGAGCTACGGTGGGCGTGCCAGCTGCTGAAGTGGAGTGGCAGTTTGGGGGGTGTCTGCCCACAAGGGTTAGCCATCTCATCTAGCGTCCTGTCTAGGTGCTGTGACTTGGAGAAAGTCACTAAAGTCTTCCATATCACCCACCAGATGCCATAAGGGTCGTAAGTGACAGAGAACAGAGAGGCGGCCAAGTCAGGATCCAGGAGAGGCTGACATCTGAGGCTAATGAGGCAAACCCAGCAGGTGGAAAGGCTCTGGGGGGATGCAGAGTGACGTGCTGGGGCCATCTGCAGAGAGCAGGGTGGGCGGAACGGCTCCCTGGGACCTAGGGAGGCCTCAGGGTGACGTGGCTGTAAGAGTCTCCTCATGGATAAAAGAGAGCAAAAGTGTCAGTGCTGTGACAAAGGGGGGCCGATCCATATATCATATTTTGTCTCACCTTGAGCTTCTGAAGGGAGCCATCTCGATTGGTGTTAGCTATTAGTAGGAGAGCGGTCATTATTTCCCCGATGGAGTCTGGCACTGTGTGTGGCATGCAGAAGATGATCCCTAAGGATCTTTGCTTATTGACAGCTTCGTAACACCCTTCAGATGAAATCGCTGTGCTGACCAGGGGGTGCTGTGACTGACTGTTATTATGCTTTCTATTTCCTCCGAGGACCAGTCGGCTTTGTTTTACAGTTGTCACCTCCTCACGTTCCTAAATTACACAATAGGGGGGTAGAGAGAAAGAGAATCCAGGATAGATTTTGTAACAATACCAAACAAGGCCGCCATATTTCCTATTTTGTGCCAGTTGCTGGCTCTGGATGTGACATCCATTAGGCCATCTAATCCTCACAGAAACCCCACAAGAGGTTCATAGTCGTATCATTCCCATTTTATAGAAAAGTGAAGTCAGTTTTAGAAAAACTGAATAATTTGCCCAAGGCTACACAGGAAGTTGAAGGGCTGGGGTTCCAACTCCTTTGTGGTTAAGCTCCCAGCACTCTCCTGGGTGTGGCCCTTCCATAATGCTACAGAATGGCTCCCTTTGGGTGGTCCTTGCTTGGGGGACACCACCAAGATGGTCACCACGGGCATCACATCTGGGAGTGAGCACACACAGAGCCCGAAGAACCGCATGGGTGCTCAGTCAATGACAATCAAGAATTTAGTTTGGGTTGGGGTGTAGCTCAGGGGCAGAGCCCTTTCCTAATGTGGGTGAGGCCCTGGATTCCATCCCCAGCAAAGAAGGAAAGAAAGGGAGGAAAGGAAAGAAAAGAAAAGAAGAAGGAGGGAGGGAGAGGAAATTTAGGTTTGCTTCATTGGACATTCCAGCCCCTTTCCTTATCAAAGGACAAAGGCATGTGGACCATAAATGTATCCTCACCTACTGTCACATGCACCCCTTTCTTGCTGGTGTTTCTAGTCAGGTCAGAGAGACTCAGGAAAATCTGTTGCAAGCAGAGGGAGCCTTGCTTTCTCAGAAATAGTTCCTATTGTTGTGGAAAGCAGCAGAAGAGTTGGCATCATGCTGTTCCTTGAAAGGTAGATGATGGATGGAAGGAAAGTAATTAGAAGTAAAAGTAATAAACAGAAACAGAAAGACACATTTCTTCCTATCAGTCTCATTTTGTTCTCCTACTGATCTTATTCAGTCATAATCATATCCCTGGTATAAAACCACTGACCAGAGTCGGTTCTGATTATATAACACTAGCTGCCTGCAAACCTCCCTCGAAACTAAATTCTGCTCTGACATGTCACTGATAATGTCTGCTTCTCAGCACAGGTAGGTGCAAATGCAGAAAGCAGCTCACTGTCAGATAATCTGGTGTGATTATAGGATTAAGCCTGTTGCTCATTATATATTCAGCAATTATTAGGAAAAGGCTTTGGTGTTTTCAACAGCCCCTCTGAGATGTTATTCATAACGCCATTGGCCAGGGGCTGTGTCTGCCTCACTCCTCAGCGTGCATTCCTTTGAGTCAGCCGGTGAGGAACTTCCTGCTACTAGGAAGCCCTGTGTATTATTCTCAGAAATCCTGGACACTGATCCCAAGACTCCGCCAATGGTCTCTGGGTGGCAAATATCCATGGGGCTCTTTCTCTTTTCCAGTAATACAAAAGGCATGGCCTTGTTTGTAGGATCCTTGTCGATAGACCTTGGACAATAAACTGGGCATTGTGCAAAAAGTCCCCCACCCCTAGGAGGACACAACTGCAGGACCTCTGTCTGTGGGCAGGGAGACTTGTAGTGAGCTGGGAGGTCAGAGGCAGGCAGAGGACAGCAGCCAGCCCCACCTCAGACAAAGGCCAGTGCCCACTATCCATTAAGTTCTATTAAAGTAGGAACCACCCATTTGTGTCTCCTGTCCAGGATCCACTATTTGAAAGCATTTGGGTAATTATAGCTTTCCTTGCTGCCTTTGGCTTTTAGTTTGAGTGGATTAATTATGTGCCATGTCGAGAGCTTTCTCCTGATCCCTCTGAGCTCCTCTTTTCCTCCTACTGGCTGTTTTCATCAGCTTTGGTAAGTCACAATAGTTCAGTGGTTTCTCTTTCTTCTCTGTCATGCGGAAACTGGGCTGTTCCCAGCTTTCCTCTCCTCTCTAACTTGTGCTCTGCATTTTTCCTTGGAAGCTTATGTGATTACGAGGAAGCCCTTTAATATCAATGATCAGGTGGGTTTGAAGAAATGGCAAGGAAAAGAAAGAGTAATCGAACTAGTTCCAGTTTTTTAAAAAGTCACCGAGAGCTGGAGCAAAACGCTTTTTTTTTTTTTTTTTTTTTTAATTTCACATGTTGGGTGTATCTGCAGTGAACAGTCACTAATCCTGAGAGATAATCTCTTCCCTGGTATTTCAGTTTTATTTTGCAGATGTCTGATTCTGCATATGAGCTCCTTGAAACTAACAAGCATTAGTGGCTAAAGACTTTGAAAGCCATTCAGGCACTCTGTTTACACTGCACCTTTTACTCACCATGACTGCCAAGGGCCTAATCTGGTTCTTCCCTAAGCAGAATGCCCTCAGGAGGAAAGATAAGGGCATTGAAACATTGAACAGGCCTTTTACTAACCGGGAAGCTCCTGTCTGCAGGAGATGGCAAGGGAGCCTGGTTCCCAGTCCATGATAGGTGCATAGTAGATGCTCAGTAAATCATCACTGGATGGAATAAATCCAGTTCCTGGCCCAGCACCAGGCACAGGGTAGCTGCCCAATAAATATTTGTTGGAATAATGAATAAACTTCTATATTGCATGGGAGAAGAATTCCAGTCAATATAGAACTTGCATCATTTTAACCTTTGGAAGGTTTTGGGTGAGATAAAGTAGGAAAGCAGCCACAATCAAGGAAGCAGATAGCCAATCCAAGCCCTCCAGTTGAAGAGACCAACTCTATATTCCTGTGGGAACTTGGATGCCGCTGATTGACGGGCTGATTTAATGGTGTTGATGTAAGAAATGTCCATCTCCAGAGCACAGGAAGGCACTTGATAGTGAGCTGTCAGTCTGGAAGCTGGAGCTCCAACTGCATCTCAGGAGCAGAGGAGTCCCGGGGGAGGGGAGTAAACGTGCTTCTGCCCAGGTCCCAGACCGCCTGCTCACGGTGTCTCTAGGGAGCATCCTTATCACATCTAGATAAGGGTTCCACTCACAGGAGAGAAGACAGCCAAATAAGGACCTAGATATTCCTTACTCATGCTTGCAACCCACCCCTCTTCTCTACTCCATTTAGGAGAAAAGATCCTGAAGTTGTTAGGAGACACCTGTCCATTTAAGTCCATCACAAGAACTTTCCAAGTCAACCCTGAGTCCCGCTGGAGGACCACAGGTTCATGCTGGCTGCAAACTCAAAGACTGATCCTGTTCCCTCTCAGCTGTCAAAGCAGAGTACTCACACATTTTTATTGTGGCCTAATATACACTGGAAATTACTCATCTGAGCTCCCCTTTGTACAGAGGAGGATGGAAGGAATGAGTGGTTTCCTGCTCTCTATCAGGCCACACTAAAAATGTGTGAGTACCCTGCATCAATAGCTGGGAGAGAACAGAATCAGTTTTTAAAGTTGTGGCCAGCATGAACAGGAAACAGTCTAGTTTCTTTTTCTTTAAACTTTATTCTTCTCCATTGACTGTTTGGGGCTCTGAAATCCAGAGGTGACACTATAGCCCAGCGTGTGTTTCCCAAGGTCACATCTCCGCCCACTGTTCTGCAGGCTCCACTCAACATCTTTCCCTATTTAGATCACTCTCAGATCCAGCCCTAATGCATTCCTCCGTTCAGTAACCCCAATCAAACGTACACAGTGTGGGGCGCCGAGTGTACAGTAAACAGCTGAACAAAACAGTCGTGATCCCTGCTTTGCTGGGATCTCATACTTTTAGAGGGTGACAGATACTTAATAAACAAATACATTATTACAGATCTTAATATGTGTCATGAAAGATTAACAGGAGTTGGTGTAGGTTAATTTGGGAGATTGAGAAAGACTGCTCTGAGAAAGTGTTATTTGAGCCCAGACCTGGAAAAGAAGTTATCCAGGCAAAGAGTTGTAGAAAGTTCTCAAGGGGGTAGGGAAAGGCAAATTTAAAGACTCCTGCAGTGGAAAAAACCCAGATTGGACCACCAGAGCTCAGTGTGCCCCCAAAAACTGAAAGAAATGCATGTGTTCAGAACATTCTAAATGAGGGCAGTCAGATGAGATGAGCCCCAAGAAATGGTGCATTAGTTAAGATAATGCTTATTGCTGAGTGCACTAAGGCTTTCAAAGTCTTTGGTCACTAATGCTTGTTAGTTTCAAGGAGCTCATGTGCAGTGTCAGACATCTGCAAAATAAAACTGAAATACCAGGGAAGAGATTATCTCTCAGGATTAGTGACTGCTCATTACAGATACACCCACAATGTGAAATTTAAAAAAAAAGATAATGCAAACCCAAACTGTGTTAGTTCAAACAGGAAAGATATTTATTTCTCATTCACAGGATGCAAAATGGGCATTCTGAGATCTAGACAGTTTCTCTTCCGAGTAGTGCTTTGGAGACCACGGCTTCTTCCATCTTGCAGCTCGGCCATTTGTGACAAGCTGCCAAGGTCACATCTTATCTACATGGAGGCCTCTGCACAAGAGGGTTTTCTGAGCCCTGGCCTGTCTGGTAGTGGACTGCACTCACATTCCTAACTGCATACCTAACTATACACCTGACTCCAAGGGAGAGTAAGAAATGTGATCAGTGTGTGATCCCAGGAAGGACAATGATCCAGGTGCTGGGGACCTTGCACTTCCAGCTATATTCCTGGTGCACTAAGGAGCCTGAGCAAGGGCACACCTGCAGCAAATCCATCATCTTGTCTAAATCCACATGTGCAATCGCTCATGTCAGGCACTGGGCCCAAACCAAATTCATCATCCCCCTCAGAAAGCAGTGTGTTCCTTCTTCTTCCAGTGATACCTTCCCAGACCCGACAGTCACCTTTCCTGGACTGTTGGCCATCCACACTTCCCTCCCTGCCCCAGATGCAGACTTATTCAGTAGTTGCCCAGTTAGACTGTTCAGTGGATTTCTTTCCGCTGTGATCCAGAATGCTAATTTATGTATCTACAGCATAGAATATCTCCTTTTAGTGACAGTTATTCCTGGCTGTCATATAGAGCAACATTTTCTCAGTGTTAAGTCATCCGAGAAGCTTAACTAATATCTTTAGAGAACATGGATATCAGAATCTTTAGATTCTTCAAATCTTTCTAAAATGTGTCTTTCATTCCTGCTCAAAACAAAACAAAACAAAACAAAAACACGTTGCTTTCTTCTAATTATCTACTAGAAAATGCTCAAACTTATGTAGTGTGGAGAAATGGACCTAACCCATCATTTCAAAACTCTTCTTACCCTATCCCCCTCTAGCCAGCCAGGATGCCCAACCGTCCCCCACAGTCCAAACAGTGTGGGTGAATTCCCACCTCATCCTGCCCCCCTCTGCCCAGAATGGCCTGTTCCTGCCCATCTTCCTCTGTGAATCCTACGATCCCTCGGTGTGCACCCTCACCCCAAATCTTACCTTCTCTGGGAAGCCTTCCCTCTCCCGCAACAGCCGGAAGTAAGCTTTCTGTTTCTGGAGTTTTGTAGCACTGACACTCTCTAAGCAGCTTCTTATTTTATTTTTTCTGCTTATTCAGAAGGCTACCTCTGGGGTTTTGTGGGGGATTCAATTACTGATATTTCCACTTTCCTATTCATAGCCTCTTCTCCAAGAAGCAGGTTGCTGGGTATAGGAGTGTTGTCCTGAGGTGGTGGTGGAGGGGGGGGTCTGTCTTTCAAATTTTCCATATTATCAAGATTTTCCTAACTGACCTATAATATTTTACATATTTTGTGAGTACACTATTATAATTTCATATATGTATACAATGCATAATGCATTTAGCATTTGCATTCCCTCAAATGTTAATGTTAGGAGCCCTCACACTCTTCTCCTGTCTCCTGGTCATTTTGAGCGACAGAATTACTTGCTGAAAACTCTAATTGCTCTACTGGGTCATATGATTCTGGCCCTCTCCCCTTCGCTCCAACTGTGTTCCAGTTCCCTATTATTCACAAGATTTTTCATGTGACAATCTGTGCTAAGCCAGGAGAGTGCATCAGACCGACTGATGTGTGTTTTCTGAATACCCTGTCTTTGGCATTTTGTTATCTGAACCTCTGTAGGGGACCATCCCCTAGCAAAATGAGCCTCTAACGTGATAGCAGGCCCCTGAGTTCCATTTCTAAATCTGCCTGATTCTAAACATTCTTATTTGAGTCAGATGGAAAATTCAATTCTGTCTTGTTTTCCTCCTCATTTAATTGGTTTTCCATATGCAGGTTCAGAAGTGGAGTTTTGCTGAACGCACTGTCCCTGGGTGGGAGTAAATGATCACTGGTATCAGGGGAAAGGGGAGGAATTTTCAAGTTAAGTCCCTCCCACCTGCTTTGGAAAGATGTTAGAGGGAGAAGAAGACCACGCTGGCCAGCACAGACTCCTACTCTGCCCTTGTGTGAGTCCTCTCATGACCATGTGAGATGCCTATCAGCTGGCACCTGAAGCGGGTGGTACAAGGACCAGGGCTTCAGAAATCTCCAGATAGCTGTCTGTTGGACTCCACAATCAAGCTACAAAATCATCTGCAAGTTCAGGAACATGTGAGGTGTTCTCTGGAACGGAACCTTTTCAACCAAAGTTGATCTAAAAGATTGGGATAGAGCAGTTGCCTAGCAGCATGAGGCCCCGGGTTTGGTCCCCAGTCACTGCAAAAAAAAAAAAAAAAAAGGCGGGGGGAGACCCAAAGTGATCTGAAGATTTGATGGCCCTTTTTTAATATTTCATTCTAAATCAGGCAGAGCAAAGACACCATCTCTGCATGCTGTCTCATGTTTCTGGTTTTCTTTGTGAAGAGAGATTGTGTTCTGACTTTTGGTTCGTGTGAGACCTCGTTAGCGTCTCCAAAATTCAAACATCCTTAGTTTCCACTGGGCTGCTGCCCAAGAATTAGGGTAGGCTAGAAAGAGTTGCCCTGAGTGTTTGCTTTTTTACCTTTGGCAAGCAGCACCCAGTGTCCCTCGTTGCAATGATTATAGGGTGTATGTAACGTGCTGGGGTTTGGGCCATGGACAGCAGGGCTGTCCTTGGAAGAATGCCAACTGGCTTCAGTTTTCTGCAACTGAAATTGTTGCTGTTGCTACCCCAGTACGGGCTTCTGGGCTCCGGATACACAGCAGCATCACTACACTTCCCAGAGAGACCAGGCCTGCCTGACAGCCATCATGGGCGGAACCATGGGCAAGGCCCCCTTTCCAAATTAAGTATTAAATAAGCATTATTTCATCCTTATCCAAAAATGTGCTCAGAGCCTAGATGGGCCTTTCCTGTGCACTGGAATATGGACTGTACAATGCCGGAAGAGCTCGGCCTTCAGCAAGGCGTTTTGGATCGTGAGGCTTTGTGGTTGGGATTTCACTAAATGCCATGTTGGGGGCGGGGGAGTCTTTCTTCTTTCATCCGGAGCCAAAGAACAGATGACTCAGCCTGCTTCATGCTCATCATCTTAATCACAGGCTGAAGATGAATATTTTTGGTTAGTTTCCTTTTTTATATATATATATACACAAAATGCCTATTTATAGCCATTTGTTGTCGGACTCTACCAATTACTTGAAAAAAAGTGTATTTAGAGAGAGACAAACTAAAAATGTGAATTCAACGGGTAGCTATCATCCTGTATTAGATCAGCCTTTTGTGAGGACGAGAATGGAGAGGGTAGTTGGCACACGATCACTCGTGCCAGGACTGCCCATCTGCTTTCACTTTAACTGGAGGATGATGAGAGCAAATGAACACTCTGCTCTCTATCTGTCTTATCTTTGTTGTTATGAGCTCGCTGGACCCCAAGTTCACGTGTCCATGGGCGTTCTGTGTTAAAGCCCTGCGCAGTAGCTTTCTCCCCATTATCACCAAGACAAGCCCTGTGCTCTCATTCCTGCTCTCTCACACTTTCCTGTCTCCTGGTCGGGTTTCTCCATGGAATATTTGGTTTCTGTGGTGCTCGCTCTTCTCATCCATCTCCTCCTTCTCGGTCTTCTGGGGGGATCCTTCCCCTCTTTGTCTTTCAGCGTTGGATTTCTTCAGCATTCCATCTGCTTCCCCTTTCTCTTCCCAGACCACATGTTTCTACCTCTCCAGCTACAGCAGGAAGGGATCCAGCTGGGGAGTCCAGCTTGGCAATGGATGGGGGACGTCAGAGAGGAGTTGCTATGGAAGCTATCCTGTGGGCTGTCAGAGGTACAGAATGTGTTCCTCTGACTCCTTGCCCTCCACCTCGCACTGGGCATAGGGTTCAAAAAGGCAGGGTGGCTCACGGGGGGCAATATATAAAGGCAAAGGAGCCAGAGGGATTGTATAAACTATTGTCCATGGAGGAGAAGGGGAACCGCAGGCTAAAGAGGTTGAGCCTATTTTCATGGCCAAGGCCAACAACAGGAGATAGATGGCAAATTCTCTCTCCATAAATGCAGGGTTGGAGCACCACTGAAGGGTCAGGAGGCTGACAAAGGAGCTCAGGTGGAACCAGTCAACCTGACAGAGCATCTTTTCTGGGCTAAGTACCACTCACTGTGGAAAGCGCTTTGTGTGCATCTTCTCACTTGGAGACTGGAAAGGAGGACAGTACCCAGGGAGAAGGACATGCCAAGTAGACAAGCGAGCTTTCTGCCTGGATTGCCTTTGTCAACACTTCCTTTGCCTTTCACATTGACCTGGTCCTTGCTCAAGGAGCACCACCCTCCCGGATCCTTCCCAGGGACGTTTGCTTCTCCTTTGGAATCTCCTGGCCCTCTGTACATTTAGTCATGTAGGAAACAAATGTTTATTCCAGCACTTTGGAATTTTTGAAGTCTGAACACAATTATTTTCTTATTAACTGCTAGACTGGTTTATTCATGCTGAGAGTTCAGTATCTAGCACACGTCGTGATCAACAGGATAGAAATTAGTTGAATAGATACATGAATAACAATATTTAAGTTATTTATTCAAGATGCAATTTAACCCCAAGCATAAGAGACTCTCCCATCAGCCCATTTCAGACCCGCATGACTTAATTTACCGGCGTGGTCATGAGTGGAGGATTCACTGAGTGGTTGTTTTCTGTTTTTTGGTTTACATTGTTAAGTTGACACTCCTGGCTAATGTCAGACATTAACCAACTGTTGACGTTCCCTATAAAACAGGCACATTCTCCGCATACTTATTATACACAATTCAATAATGATTAACATTTGAACTCTGTCTAGGCTGAGCAAACCACATCAAAGCACCTTTTTTTTTTTCACTAGGACTTTTAAAATATCAAATATGGACTGAGTGAGTAGGTGTCAGAGAAATTGACTTTGTAAACTGAAAATCGTAAACTTAGATTCATTTGAAATCTGTCATGCGGAGTGCATATATATAAAAATTATGAGCATTTTGGTTTCCCCCTTGTAGGTAATAAAAAACATCTGTAATATTCCTCCTGGCCTTTTTCTGATTAGCTTCATGTCTGGTGTATTTTTTTCTGACACTCTTGTTAACATCGTAAGGATTTCACCAAGGACAGACAGGATTCTAAATAAGGAGTGTGGGTGTAACAGAAAACTTGCCTCAGTCGGGTTTGAGTCCAGAAAGGAGGAGAATTTTTAATGGTAGTCAGGCTGCCCTGTTTTACTCTTCCCCAGGTTGACACACCAGCAGAACTGACAGGTTCCAAAGAGCAGAAGTACCTAGGAAGGATAAAGGGCATGTGGGCCCATTCCCCCTGCTGGGGCTCCCCAGACCCCCTCATTCCCCCCTTGATGTATGTGGGTGCTTCCAGAATGCACCCTGGCCACAGGCTTCCACTTGGGGTCAGTGAAGCCCAAAGGATCCTCTGGAGGCTGCTAAAGGTGACCCAAGGTGGAGAGGTTAGACAGCTCTCCTTGTAGCTGTTTTATGTAGGGGATGACTGCCAGAGTTTGTTTGGAGGGAAGATTTGGCCACATAGTCTGAAAAACACTGCTGTCACTGAATTGTGTCATTTCAACAACTACTATTTTAGTAATAATAATAATCAATAATAGTTGACATTTATTGAGAGCTTACTATGTGCCAGGGACCCTGGTAAAGACTTTTGATGTAATATCTTATTTAATCCTCAAAAAAAATCTATGAGATTGTTACTCATTTGAATCATGAGAAAACAGAATAAAGTGCCCATGGTTTAATTATTATTAATTAGAAGAGTTGGTCAGGGGGCTTGGGCTACAAACCAGAGATCTCAATCCCTTGCAATTACAGCAGTCAAGCAGCCCTGTCAGGGTAACGAAAACCCAACACAACAGATGTTTACTAAGTGCCCCTTGTGGTCAGGCATTAAATGATGCTTGAACTCCACTTAACTCTGAGCTTCACTCTACTGTTGTCCCCCATCCCCCATGTCCTCACCTAATTTTGGAAAAGTCTGACAAGCAGAGAGGCAGATAAGTAAGGGTGGAAGGAGAAACTGTCCTGACACCCTCCCTGAGTGCCCGAGCCCATCCAGCATTCTCCTCGCCCACCCGGGCCTCCCTCCCACCACCTCCCCTTTCCTTTTACTCCCCTCCGCCTCCCGTCTTCTTTTTTGGGTGTTTTCTTTTCGCTTCCCTGGTTGTTCCTCCGTGTTGTTCCCTTGTTGCTTCTGGTGGATTCTCCGTTGTCACACCAGGGCAGGTCACAGCCACTCCCACTGCTGCACTAGTGTGTGCCCTCTGTTTTCCTTCCTCAGCATTAGTCCTGGGGCCTCAATAAACACTTCACTTTTTAATTTTACTCCAAGGGTGTATATCTGAAGACGGTTGAATCCATTCCATTGTTTCTCCAAAATTCTGGCTGAATTAGAATCGTCTTTTTGAGCCAAGAACCCTGCTGTTTTGTTGTTGTTGTTGTTGTTG